AAGCCGAGTGCAAACCGTAGGGTTGCACCAACATTAACGTTATGTTTGTTATTTCCCGTCGCACGTACTTTGCTCTTCTATGACACAGGCTGCCATATGGGGGCTTGCCTTGGGCAGGACAAGTGTGGGCAATCCCTACCGGGCACTACTCATCGAGGTCATGCACGCTCTTGATCTCGGTATTTTCATGCACATCATGTCATGCATCCGAGTCATGTACAAGAAAACCAGGGAGACAAACGTCCTAAAACAGCTAGACGAGGCCTTGCAACGCATTGCTAAAGACACTCGCATCTCTGGTTTCCGGTTGCCCGGTCAAGAGAAGGGAGGCTACTTTGCAGGCGCGGCAAAGTTCCAAGCCTTTGAACACCGTGCAGTCATGCAGGTGGCTACCATTGTACTTGCAGGGTTGGTGGACCAGAAAGTCGTGGATGCTGTAGCAGCGTTTGTAGATTGCTACATGTTGGCCTGCAGGAGATGGTACCATTCAGACAACACTTTACAAGAGCTGGACGTCGCTATCAAAAGGTACCACCTCTAACCATCAAGCTCACATCCGTCCCTTGATTCACACATCTCCTATCCATATCCCTTTCTACAAATTTCAATATACCCTCTCACTCATACCTCTGCCCTACCATCTCCCATTCCTCTCACCATACTTTCACTCCCTTTCCATATCCTTTGCTGTAAATTTCAGTATTCCCTCTCACTTCTACCTCTGCCCTACTATCTCCCTTTCCACTCACCATGCTTTCAATCCCTACCCATATCCCTTGCTCTCAATTTCAGAATACCCTCTCACTCCTACCCATGCCCTACCATCTCCCGTTCCTCTCACCATCCTTTCACTCCCTACCCATATCCTTTGCTGAAAATTGCAGCATTCCCCCTCACTTCTACCTCTGCCCCGCTATCTCCCTATCCAGCCACCATGCTTTCACTCTCTATCCATATCCGTTGCTCTCAATTTCAGAATACCCTCTCACTCCTACTCATGCCTTACCATCTCCCTTTCCTCTCACCATGCTTTCACTCCCTCACCATATCCTTTGCTGTAAATTTCAGTATTCCCTCTCACTTCTACATCTGCCATACAATCTCCCTTTCCACTCACCATGCTTTCACTCCCTACCCATATCCCTTGCTCTCAATTTCAGAATACCTTCTCACTCATACCTCTGCCCTACCATCTCCCGTTCCTCTCACCATGCTTTCACTCCCTATCCATATCCTTTGCTGAAAATTGCAGCATTCCCCCTCACTTCTACCTCTGCCCCGCTATCTCCCTATCCAGCCACCATGCTTTCACTCTCTATCCATATCCGTTGCTCTCAATTTCAGAATACCCTCTCACTCCTACTCATGCCCTACCATCTCCCTTTCCTCTCACCATGCTTTCACTCCCTCACCATATCCTTTGCTGTAAATTTCAGTATTCCCTCTCACTTCTACCTCTGCCATACAATCTCCCTTTCCACTCACCATGCTTTCACTCCCTATCCATATCCCTTGCTCTCAATTTCAGAATACCCTCTCACTCATACCTCTGCCCTACCATCTCCCATTCCTCTCACCATGCTTTCACTCCCTATCCATATCCTTTGCTGAAAATTGCAGTATTCCCCCTCACTTCTACCTCTGCCCCGCTATCTCCCTTTCCGCTCACTATGCTTGTCATGGTCAATTCTCTGCCTGTCACCCTCACCTCCACCTCACTATCACTTACCTCTCATACAAAATTCCCAGCAGTCAATCATCCATATCATTTTCCCTCTTCTCCTCCCCTGCCCTCTTTCGCTTCGCATCTAACCCCCTTCTCTGTTCTACCCTCTCCTCTCTTATCCCTACCTTCACCTATCCCTTTTCATCGCCGTGCAGATTGATTCCACAATTGAAACAGGTTTCTGGATCGTGTCAAGCGTCGGAATTCAACATTGGAAAAGTTCACCAACTAGCACATTTCGTTGAAGACATTCGCCGATCCGGAGTGCCTGTGCACTACAACGCAAACATGTTTGAATACCTTCACCAACCTCTCGTGAAAAGGGCATATCGTGCGAGCAACAAACGAAATGCCATGCCACAAATTGTTAAGCACACGGTCATGGCACAAATGCTTCGCATGCTTGACGATTCAGATCACAACAAGGAGGATGCGGCACAACGAATGGTCGCACTACAACAGGTGTGTGTCGCTAAACCAGTTTTGATTTGAATTTCATTCTTCGTGTGGCTTTGTTGCTGGTTTTTTTAATCACCACTTTAAAACCAGCATCATTTTACTTATCATTGACTAATTTGTACTCTCTTCTCTCATGTAAGCAGGCCATGGAATCTGGCCCGAACACTCTTGTTGCCACATCGACCAAGGTGAACTGGAGGGACCCACGATATGCAGGTCAAGCTCTTTGGCGGGAGTACGAAGCTACAGCACCCGGCGATATGTCACAACTTCGTAGCTTGCTTTCGCAAACTCAAGCCGACGACGTCAAACTGGGGGACCAGATTCAAGTAAGGAAAGGCATGGCAATACCAGGAGATGAGGACTTTACCAAGTATTCAAGTGTTACACATTACGTGCGTGCGTGCCCAATGTTCTACCAAAGGCCTTGGTACAGTGATGTTGCCATATTGGGCAAAGAGAGGGTGACATCATCGGACGGCACTTCGGGAACCAAGGACGTGATCTGGTATGCGCGTCTTCTGATGCTTTTTGTGGCTGAACCAGAAGATCCCGAAGCAGAGTTGGCAGACCAACGCGAGAGAGCCTTTGTAAGGTACTACAGGGTGTCTGACGAGGTTCATCCGTCGCACTGCCCCGTGCTACTGTGGGAAGAACCTGGGAATGAATACCAGGTGGTGGAGATCGACAGCATATTGAGAGTGGCACACGTGGTTCCTGTTGGTGACAACAAGTTTGTCCTTAATAGGTTTAAGTTCTATTAATCACCTTGAATAAATGAGACGCATGTTCTTTGAGTTCTTGACATACCGTGTTTGATCAGCCATGTCTGTACTCTTTACGAACCATAACGCACATGTGGCAAACATCTGATGCACTGTTAGAAGTTAAGGCATCTTAAAAGAACAAAGAAGGCACATTTTTCCCCTCCAGTTTTTGAATCTGTCTAGATTTTGAGACTGTGTACCATTCAATTGTATCGAAACGCCTTGTGGCAGTGATACCTGAATCGAGTATGAGATATTTCGTCTTCTAGTACAGTCCATCCGGGCCCTGGTGGCTTTGAACCCACTAGGGCCCCCTCCTGGTGGAAAGGGGTTTTCACCAGGGCCGCACGCGGATGCCTGGTGTGTCGCGACCCCCAGCTGGGAATTGCACGCGAGAGGGAGTCCCCCGCCCGCATGCAGGTCCCTAGCGAGATCCGGGCGGCGGAGCAAGCTGGCGGGGTGGTCCCGCGCCGAGCCCGGGCCACGCCAGTGCCACGCAGCGTGGTCCCAACCCCGGCCCCCCCCCCGTGCCCAGCCCTGGCTCGCGAAACCCCTCGCGAAACCCCTCGCTCTCCAATCCGAGGGCGAGGGCCGAACCCCAGCGCGCCGAAACGGATCCGGCCAATCGGAGCCGTTTCCGATGGGCTTGTGGCCCGGGCAGGGGCCCAGCGAAATAGTTCGCACACCTGGCCGCTTGTGCGAAGTGTCGCCTGTGCGCGCCGGACCGAATCCGGCCAATCGGTAACGGAATCTTCCGGATCCCTGGTTCGCAAGCCTACCCCGAAATACTCTTCGCGCATGCGAAGGGTAGCCAGTGTTCGCCCACAAATCATCCGCAATTCAGGAGAGTGTTCACCCAACGTACTGTTGTTACACTTTTTTTATTATTCGCAAATCGTAAACGCGATTGAACGGTATATATAGTCCTTCACGTGACTTTTCCCTTAAGATCAACCAACCCCCCTCACTTATTCTGCGAATTAGAATCCCCCACACATTTTTTTTTTTTTTTTTTTTAAGTGACGCGTGGTGCGTTTTGCCAAGTCAATAAAACGCGATTTACATTTTTTCCAATCGTGTACTGTATTATTCGTCTGTGTAAAAAGTGGTAGTTTCGGATCGTTACCCAGCTTTTTGGCGGACGCGTTGAGGAATACACCCCGCCCGAGGTGGTAACCGTCGCCCCTTGCATGCAGTCCGCGGTCGGAGTGCTACATGGCGGGACGTGGTTCCACCCGCATGCATGAACGGGAACGCACCCACCTCGGGATGTCCGAAGGGGCGCGCGGGTTCCTCCCCACCACGCGCAGTGCCACCCCCTGCCTGTTGCTCGCGCTGCCCCCATCCAGGATGCGTCCCGTCCTCTATTAGGCCCTTGCAACAGGGTTTCATGTGCTCATTTTCCAGTTCTCACTTTGGTTCCCTTCTTTTTGCCATCCTGCTAGTCCTCTCCGCCTACTTCTCGGTGCGAGCGCTTTTTCGAGCGGTAGTGTTTGTGGTCGCGTTCGCGTTTAGGTAGAGGCCCAAAACTCGTAGGGGTGTCCGTGTGGTTCGCGTGCACGCTTCCCCTAGTTTGCTCGTGTTTTCCCCCCGCCATGGCCGGTCGCGAACTGAAGGCGCTGTTGAACAGTGGCGAGCAGGGCGCTACTTACACTGCTACGATATCGATCGCTGGCGCCACTGTGGATCTCCCCCCCGAGCAGAGGAAGTGCTTCTCCGATGATAAGCACCCTTTCAGCGCGACCTCCTTCGACTTTCTCGCCTGGTAAGTCTACCTTGGGATGGATGGCTTGTTTAGGACGCCTTATTGGGTCGCATCGCGGCTTTGTGCGGCTTGTTTAGAACGTCCACATGCGGGAGATGCGGTCGCGTCCATCGCGTTCGCGTTACCAATTCGCCTGCAAAGTTTCTGTCCGAGCCATCTTCTGTTCGCGTTACCGTTGATGCCCTTCGGGTCCGTTTCCATATATATCGCGACAACTGTTCCATGTACTGGCTTGTATAGTTACGCCCGCATAACAACCCGGCCGCGATGTTTTTGTGGCCATATGTTCTTTCGTTTCCCGCACAGCGTGGTAGTTCGGAAGTGCGTGTCCCCGTCGCTCCAGGAGGCGATACAGGTGGTGCCCTCCAATGTTGTCGCGGACATCGTCGCGGGTGGTGAGGACGCGCACGTGGCGTTTGACCGTTTGCTTGGATGTAAGCTGGTCGCGTTCTGCATCTGGACCGGGTGAGTACAGCGGGACTAGTCGTAGGCTGGTTGTGCTTTGCATACGCGTTTGCCGATAAGTGCTGATGCGAGTCGTCTTGTGTCATATTATCATGTTAGGGAAATGAGTGACAAGAAGGCCTCAAACGCGGGCATGTTGTTGCTTTTGCGACCGGACCACCTGGGGCTTGACGCGACTTCACCCTGGAAAACTCGCTTTGTCCGCGTTTGTCACCCCACTGCCGCGGCCGAGCATCTTACCGCGATAGACAAGATTGTCAAGTAAGTCTGTACCAGCGGTGCTATTCTTACCTTCGGTTGCGGCTACTATACTTCCATGTCTGAGAGATATCATGTGAACCGTGCAGGTGGTTTCACGGTCGCGTTTGCATCTGTCACGGGAGCGATTCGGTCCAGTGCGACCGTTCTGGGAAGCTGGGAGATCCGTCGCGCCTCGTGGACCTGGTGAGTATGTAGAATGTTCGCGTTTGTTGGTGGTCGCGTTTGTTAAGTCGCAGAGCCCTAACTCAACACGCCATCTTCACGGTTTCCTTTCAGGATATTTCTTCCTGGAAGGCCCCTTGCGGTCCACTCGCATGTGCGTACGCGTTCGACAGAGTTCTTAACGACCTTGACGCGGTTGTTGGACACGACCCTGCGCCTTGCATCGCCAAGCCAATTGCCAGGACTCTGACCACATTGCGGTAGGATGCGAAACGCGCCGCGGAGGAGCTCGCGTTCAGGTCCAGGTGCGGTATCGCGGACGGCCATGGGGGGGATGCTCATGGCAATGAACGTTTGAGGTCGCACGAACAGCCGGCGGGATCACATGTTTCGGGTCGCGATGCACTCGCACTCAATACAGCGCTTGCCCTCGCGAACGCAGGGGAGGGGGAGCAGGGGAAGCCGGACAAGGAGGAGGGCTCGAGCTCTGACCGCGACGAGGACGCCCCTGTGAACGCGACGCAGGGTCTAGGTGCCAAGAAGGCGCGGGAGGAGGCCGACGAGGTAGAGGGACAGGGTCGCGGATAGGACGAAGGGGACGATGCGGAGGATGACCAGCGCGGTGATTTGGAGCTGGAGGGTTCGGAAGAACTGGAGGGGGAAGAGGACGACGAAGAGGATGAGGAAGAGGAGGAAGAGGTGGAAGAAACCCTCGCGACCAACAATGCCGGGCGGGCGTCGAGCGCGGTCGTGGGTGCAGGGAAGAGTATTCGCGGTCTGCAGGCTGTGCTGTTACCCCGTCACGGTAGCGCGACCCCGTCGACTGAGTACGCGGGCAAGAGTCCGGTCGCGGGCAAGCGTAAACACTCGGAGCTGGTGAAGATGGATCCTGCGAAGCTGGCCGCGGAGATTCTCCGCTTGGACGAGCAGGTGAAAAATCAAAAGCGCAAGCTGGACGAGGTCGTGTCCGCAAAGCCAGGCACAGAACACGTGGTGGTGATCACGCAGAGCTACGACGAGCTCGTGGCTACGGTGGAGAAGGCGCTGCTTCACGTGCAGAACACGGAACGGGTGATGCGCAGGGAAGCCAAGGTGGCCGCGAAGGACAGGTCGAAGAATCGCGTCATGCGGGAGGTGCTGAAACGCGCTGCTGTCCGCTTGGAGGATTGCGCGGCTAGCATGAAGGGGGTGGTTGTGGACTCCATGGAGAACGCCCAGAAGAAGCTGACGGACGAGGTCGCCCGTAAGATCGACGGCGCGTCATCCAACATCGCGGGAACCGCCGAGAGAGCGATCACCACAAGCGGCGTCACCAACTCTCTCAACATCATCATCGCGATGCTTTCGGGCGTGACGCCAAGGAGACATCTGCAGCCCACGACGCAAATTCCTCCGTCTGGCAGAGCGGGTTGTTGACCACATACGGGTGTCGCGGCTGGTGGATGTAATACATCGCCAGGTCTTGCGCGACCGCCATCCTAGCGTCCCCATCCAGCTCCTTCAGTATGTTTAGCCCCGCGGTGTCCTGCTTCTCCGGCTTCTGCTTTTTCACCATCTTGCGGTTGTAATCCTTGCACTGTGACAAGAAAACAACGCGGTAGTGAACGCGGTGCCAGAGGGTTATGTGGGATGCTCGCGGTCGCGTATGCGCGGCCCACACATACCTGTTCCTGTCCTTTGTCCGCGGCGGCCCAGGGGAAAATGTGCTTCCTCAGTAGCTCATCCAGCTTATCGCTGACCGGAACAGTTGCGCGACCCAGGAAGTAGTCACCGTCAACCCCAGTGAAGCCCGCCTTCAGCAGCACGGCCTCCCTCGGAATGGTTGTGAGGTAGTGCTTAGTCATCACGTTGATGAAGCGCCAACCCCCCAGCCTCGCCAGCTGATCTGAAGGCATTCCGTCAGCGGACGCGTGCTGCGCCCCCCCAGCCCTGGTCACGTGTACCGCACGCGAGCATATGATTCCCGCGTCCTGGAGAATCTTCGCCGCCCAGTCGTGATGAGTCGTGGGCGGTATTTGCTTCTCGTTGCCCGCGCGAAGGGGGAAGAACAGGTATTGATCGTACCACGTCGAGGGTTCCGTGAAGTCGAGAGGGGGGGCTATGTCCTCGTAGAGGATGGGAACCAAGTCGTACACCCAGTGCAGCCATAGCAGCGTGGCTCCGACCGCGCACAGCGTCCAATCTATGTGCCTCACAGCAGATATGTAGTTGAGCGAAAAGTCCTTGTTTGTCTTGCCCGTCCTGCACGCGCAGACAAACATGAACGCGTTCCTCACTGGATCGGTCTCGGATTTTGCGCCGAGCTTCCACACCATCATGTCTGGAAGCTGCAGGTTTCTGATCGTGCACCCGCGGGCCAGAGTGTGATGACCGAGCATGGTCATCGTCCGCATGCAGAGGTCACGATGCAGTGCCTGCGTGTATGCTTTCTTGGCTAGTGTGAAGCTGGTCAAGATCGCGTCCATGCTGGTCTTCCGCATCATATGATTGAACTCGTCCGGGGTGTACGTGTCCGCGGCCGTGCCCCGATGGCGATCCATGTGTTCCCTGCGCATCGATTTGGACGATAGTGCGGGTGTTAGTGGACGCGGTATTGTTGGGCATTAAACGCGTTCACTGAGTACGTATACTTACGCGATAAACCGCTTGTACTGGTCGCGTACTTGAACGCGGACCCAGATGCGACACTCTGCAAAGTCGCGCAGCAGGTTCAGAACGGGCTTCCTGAAGATGGCCCCGTCCAGCTTGATGAGCAGGTTCAAAGCCTTGAGACGCCCCATCAGCATTGCCGGGGTGCACTGGCGTCTCTTCTTCAATGTCTTTTCTGGCCGCTTGAGTGTGGCCATCCTGTCCGCCTGTGCGACTGTCTCGTTCGCGAGGAAGGTCACGTATTTGCGTAAGCGCCACGGATTCGTCTCAGGGCCGTGGAACCACTGCTCGTCGCCCTCCGCCATCTTCCAGTCACCACCCATGTTCTGTTCGACCGCGGCCCCTATCTCGTCGGGGTTCGCGTTTCTCAACGCGGCCTCCTCACCAAACCTACCCGCGTCCAGTTTAGGCAGCTCGTGAGCCATGAACCGCTTGTACTCGTTGGCCCAACCGCGATACTTCTTCAGCGTGGCCTCAGAGACACCGTATAGGATTCCGTAGCACATCTCTCGTTTCGCGGCCGGCGTGTCGTCCACACCAAGCCTGTTCCAATCCGCGATAGGGACCTCAATGTCCCTCCGCGTACCCCGCACCCGTTCGTTGTCTTCCGCCTCCTCCTCGTTGAGCGCGGACAGCGAGTTCGATAGGTAGTTTTCGTCATCGTCATTCCAACTATCATCCGCATCGTCAGAGTTGTCCTCGTCATCCTCATCGCTTGCCCCCTCGCTCCCCTCCCGGGAGCCATTGCGTGCCGTGTGCGGCACGACATCGACTCGCCGCCTCCTTATACGCAGTCTATTAACTGGCCCGTTACCGGTACCGCCGTTCGCGTTAACACCGTTACCCCTGCCGCCGTTACCTGTCACCCCATGCGCTCCCTGCCCGTTCGCACTATCCCCGTTCGATCCCACACCTGTCCCACGTCCCGCGCTCGCTCTCCCACCCCTTCCTCTCGCACCTCTCCCTCTAGCCGCGTTCCCTCTCTCCCATGTCCCTCTTCCCGCATTCCCTCTCGCATCAGTCCCTCTTCCCGCGTTCCCTCTCGCACCAGTCCCTCTTCCCCTTCCCGCGTTTCCTCTTGCACCCGCTCCACGGCCCGCGTTCCCGGCGTTCGTATGTGGTTGCCCACCTACACCAGTCGCGTCCGCTACAGTCGGATGCGCGGGGGTGCGGATGTGGACGTCGGGGTTTCCGGGCAACAGTGAGTTCACGTTCCATATTGGCGGCGAATGTGCACGCGCGCTTGCATTCATCCCCGCTCCACCATTCAACACACGCCCTAAACCACCGGCAATCGCGTTCGATGATGGGCCGTCTGTTCGCGCCCGTGTGTCCAAACCGACAACCAATGCTTCGCTAGGGTCTGGCGGGGCTTGCACCGTTGGCTGGCTTTCCGGATGGATCGCGCTGGGGAATGGTGTTGACGGCGCGACAGGAGGCGTCGCGACAGATGCGGGAGCGTGCACCATGGGGTCTGGTTGAACGCCGATGTACCCGTACCTGAATCCCACGTTCGCGTACTGCGGCCCTACGAAGCCACGCACAGGCATCCCGAAGAGGTGGCTAGTGGGCACGGACGGGGACGCGATGTGTTGTCCAACAACATGAGGTCCGGGATGATTTTGAAACGCGACCGTCGCTGCCGCAAACGGTATTTGTGGCCGCGGTGCTAGGTGGAGCCCGTTCACCAGTTGTTGTGGGTGGAACGCGGGAATCCGCGACCCAAAAACCACGGGCTGCACGTATGGGGTGCTCCATGTGGGGTTGAGCGCGTTCACCCCATGCACGGGAGCGGTAGGCGGTTCGGCATTATGGATTTGCTGCGCGGTTGTGTTGCCCGGAGCATGGACGGAGTCGGGAAGTATTGGCGCCGCGACGTGATTCACGCGGTATGCATGCAGCGTGCGAGATTGCCCCTACTCCTATTCAGCGCGTGCATCAACATGATGCGCGGTCACTACATGTACACCCCGGTGTGACTTAGACCCATTTACATCGCGGCCGTTGTGCTCGCGGACATTCGAGCGCGGCACACGACGTAACCGCGATACTGGTGTCCCGTTGTCCGTCTAAGTCAGGTGAATCCAGTGGGTCATGCGAGGGAAGAGATTGGTGTGCAACTGGCGATCGTAATGCGAAAATGTGGGCATGCTAGGAGTAATGACCGGACACTGCGTGGACGTGCTTGACACGTTACCGCGATCGCGCATCGACCAAACAGCGACAGCTGTGTGGCTCGTTCAAATTGCTGCACGTGTCAGCCAGCATGGAGCCTACCAGATCGCGCCAGCTGTATCCGAACCGAATCTCGCTGTGCGCTTACCGAACCTATCCTTGTGCGAAATTTGTTCGTGATAGGTTGCGAGATAGCACAACCAGTAGTAGCACTCCTTTGGTTTCGCGTATGCGCAGTTGCATGCGCGGAATGTCCCGCTTGTCAATGTTACCGACCTATCGCGTTCGTTTTCTACCGAGTCGCGCATGCATCGGCGCGCAAGAACGAGATGGGTTCTTTCGGTTTTTTGGGGGGCGCGGAGCTTTCGGTGGCAGCCTGGTGGGTTTCACTGAGCCACGCAGGGCCGCGCTAGGTCCAAACCTGGTGTGATCCTGGGTGGCCGACTTCGCCCCACGCTTCCCGCGATATCTCCGCGCCCCGTACATCCCCAGGCGTGGGCGAGGTTTTTCCCGAGCCGCGCCGTATGAGCATCCCAGTGTTGCTGGTGCACACTAGCGGTAGAAGCAACTTCACAAGCATCGAACAACAGTGAAATGTCAAACTCATATGCTATAGTCTGTGTAGGCTGTAGTGGGGTAGACAATATGGGGTACAACACTTTTACGCTTTTCCTACTTGTACCCACCTGCTTGCTAGTTCACTCATTCCTTGTTCTTTCACATGGTATCAGAGCAGGTTCCCTAGTGGGAACGTTTCCTAGGGCCCATCGAATATCGGCTTTTTTTGTTTTTCCTGCCCGGAGCGCGCTTCGCCCCTGCCCGAGTCGCGCCCCGTGTGCCTACCCTCCCGTCGCGTCCCCTGCCCTTAGTGGCCCGTCGCGCTCCCCTACGGCCCCGTAGCGGCCCCTCTCACGGCCTCTCACGGCCCCTCTCACGGCCCTTCGCGGCCCCTTCAGGCCCCTCGTGGCCCCTTCGCGGCCTCCCTTCGCGGCCCCTTCGCGGCCCCTTCACGGCCCCTTCGCGGCACCTTCGTGGCCCCTTCGCGGCCCCTTCACGGCCCCTTCGCGGCCCCTTCACGGCCCCTTCGCGGCACCTTCGCGGCCCCCTCGCGGCCCCTTCGCGGCCCCTTCGCGGCCCCTTCACGGCCCCTTCACGGCCCCCTCGTGGCCCCCTCGCGGCTCCCTACGCGGCCCCTTCGCGGCCCCGCCCCGCTGCCCGTAGCGGCCCCGCCCTGTCGCCAGTCGCGGCCCCGCCCCGTCGCCAGTCGCGGCCTCGCCCCGTCGCCAGTCGCGGCCCCGCCCCGTCGCCAGTCGCGGCCCCACCGCGTCGCCCCCGCCTCGTCGCGTCGCCCCTGCGGGACCCGCGAGGTGCGGCTCCTGTGCGTCGCGACGCCCCTGCGGGACCCGCGTGGCGTCACCCCGGCCCGCCGCGGCGCCCTGCCCTAACCCGCGCCCTGGAGCAGCCGCCACTGCAGCAGCCGCCCCTGGAGCAGCCGCCACTGCAGCAGCCGCCCCTGGAGCAGCCGCCACTGCAGCATCCGCCCCTGGAGCAGCCTCCCCTGCAGCAGCCGCCCCTGGAGCAGCCGCCCCTGA